CCACATATCGTCTGAAAGTTTTTGGCAGTTTTCTAAACAATTCGATTTTCTAATAGTGCGTATGTATGTAAATGATATACGTTGATGAGGTACTTTTTTTTGATAGTGAACTATGTTTGTGCAAGAATAAATTTCCCAATTAATCTCTTTTTCCAGATTTCAAATGGCACTGTTTAGAAAACCAAAATCCAAGAAAAATCTACGGAAACACGAACCGGCTGCGGATGACGAAAATGAAAGTGATACAGTTGGGACATCGTATGTTGCACTCTCTTTTCTTTATACTACAGTTATTTATTAAAAAAGTTCTATGTCACATTTTGACCTTCGTTGTGGCCGTCTTGAAACTGTTGGTCTTCACTTTTTTCTCCTTTCTTTGGACATCACCGCTCAACTCTATTTCTTTTACTTTTCTTTCAACTCCTTAAACTCTTACGTTTCTCATAATGTTCTTTATTTAGACATATTTTCGTTTTCTTTCATTTGGGAAGCATATTTACTGTTGTTAACTGCCTTTGAAATTCTAATTTTTTTTGCTAAATTCTTGTCACTTTTCTTTATCTTCAGTATCAAATTAGAGGCGGTTAGGGAGCTTCAAGAAAGTCGCGTTCGTCATAATGGCTTAAATGCTTTGGAATGTGCCTTAGGAAAGGAATTAGCAGCTGAGTTTGCTGCAATGGATGATGATCCTTTTCGTCAACGTGGTGGTGGTATGTTATGTCTGTCGGAAGGTAGACAGGCACAGATGTAAGGATAGTAGTAACTTTGTTACGGGTTTGCTGACTGTACATTGTTTATAATTTTTAGGCAAGCAGCAAATATCGAGGCCGGAATCCGAGATCAATTCAAAAAAGAAACTTTTCTTCGTGATGAAAATGAGGAAATGTATGTTTAAAGAGTTTTATTCTTAAGTACTACGTAATTTCCTAAGATTACCATTCTTTTAATGGGTTGTACTATTTTCGTTGGTCATGACTTTTAAAAATTTTTTTTATTTTTTTGAAAAACTTAAGGCGGAAGTACGTGCAGGCTGAACTGAGGAAGCGGAAGGCGGACGTTGACGTTGGTGATGGGGAAGCTCCTACGGTTCGATCTCAATTACAGTTGTAGAGTTTAAACATTTTCTGAAAAATAACAGTCTAGAGCTTAAATCATCTTTTTTTCTTATATATATTTAAAAATTTTAAATTCAGGCGAAAGTTCAATCTGTTGAGGATAAATTGCTGTACAAGGCAGCAGAGAAAGTACGGCTGTTCAGAAGTGAAAGAAACGACGAGCTTTTATCAAATCAAATGCTTGCTGGTATACCTGAAGTTGACTTGGGTGTGAAGTAAAGGGTTTTTAAGTAGCATTCTTATGCATGAAAATTAGAGCACTTGTGCTCATAACTTCGAGTTTTTAAATGATTTTTTGCTCAAATGTTCCAACTTTTGAGAATAGCTTAAAGTTTGACCTTAAATTGGTTTTCTTTGCAGTGCTAGAATGAGTAACATTATTGAAACAGAAAAGAAGAAAACAGACATGTTAAAGGAAGTAATTGAAAAGAAGAGGAATTTAAGTGAAGATGCTCTCTTCCGACAAGATCGAGCAAAGGACCTGTCGAAGAACTACGTGCAACATTCTATATGTGTGTTCTTTGAATTCCGCGTTATTTTATTCAGAGAAACTGGAAATCATAGATTCCATCAAATTTTATTTTTATCTTTTCTAGTTTATATGGAGTCAACAACTAAACTAGGACAGGAAGATTGGCGTAAAAAGCTTGATCGAGGCGTTGATGAAGTAAGTTTTTAAGCATTTCTACATATTGCTTTAAAGCAATTAGGCATATAGCATATAAAGGTCGTTTAACATATTACGCAGAAATTGAGTGTAATTCCTATTGGACTGTTTCTGCTGAATGTTTCTTTCTGGAGTAATTTATTGGTATTTTACGTATTAGAAGTTACTTGCAACAATGTCTAAGGGATAACCAAAAGTCATTTCTGGTCAGCGACATAGAAGGTTATTTCGTCTTGTTTGCTTTCTTTATCTCAGTGAATTATTGCAGTCAACATTATAAATTCATTTTTTCAAGGCCCGAATGACACTTACTGACGCAGACCTCTCACGTGGTGAAGCCTCCATCCACAAATTGTGATTCCGTAAACTTGTCATTCATATCACTGTATGTTGAAAACTGGGCTGTAGATGCTTGAATGGAGGCGGATTTGTCGAAATTGAACCTGAGTCTCATTTTGGCAAACATTCTTCGATTTATCTGTTTTTTTTTTTTTTTTTTTTTTTTTTTTTT